GGACAGAGAGTGACGCAAACACTAGAGCTTTTACACATTGATTTACACGGCCCGATCAACGAAAATAATTTTTCGGGACCACAATACGTCCTGCTCATCGCAAATGGCTACACAGGTATGGCGTTCGGCCACTATTTGAAACAAAATTCCGAAGTCATGAATGCTTTCAAGCAATTTACGGCCAAGACAGAAAATGATACAGGTAGAAGGATTAAAGCAATCAGGTCAGACGACGGCAAAGAATTTGTCAACACAGAGTTTGATAATTATCTAAAGTGAAATGGCATACGGCACCAGACAATCGTCTCTTACACCCCAGAACATAACGGAGTCGCGGAGCGTGCCAACCGAACAATGGTTGAAAATTCTCGTTGCCAAATAAACTATTCCAACTCGGATTCCAGACTTTGGGAAGAAGGCGTTAGAGCCGCGATTTACCGAAATGCCCGTTCACCCACTAAATCGGTCAAAGGAAATACCAACTTTGAAATGTGGACTGGAAAGAAGATAGATTTTCGGAACCAACGTGTATTCGGATGTAAAGCATATGCTCATGTTCCTAAGCAGCATCGTTCCAAATTTGGTCCTAAAGGCTTAGAATGTGTTTTTATTGGATAGTGTTCGAATTCAAAAGTTTCAGGTCAGTTGAGGTGAAAAATCCACGATAAATAATAAAAGCCCGAGATGTAATCTTCATGGAGATCCAACTCGGACAAAACGACGAAAAGGTGTCTCAAAAAATTTATAGAGACAATCCGGAAACAAGGAAAATTTCTTTCATACAGCCAACCGTCCTGGAAGACAATTAGGACGAAGCCCACATACGAGAAGAAACCGAAAACCAGACTATAGGGTGTTCATCCCAGAGTGATGCCGAGCATTCAGACACCGAAAATAGTAGTCATTCGGAGTCTGATCCACCAGTGCAAACAAGCATAGAATAAGCTCCCGGAAGATATCCCCCACGTGAGAGAAAAAACAGATGGTTCCCCGACGTGATAAGGCACCGTGCATTCGTGAGGACAGGCAAAGATCCTTCGTCTGTAAAGGAAGCCCTATCGTCACACAACGCAAATAACTGGAAGCAAACGATGGAGAAAGAGTTCCATTCGATGAAAGGAAACAATGTGTGGGAAATTGTAACACTTCCAGAAAATAAAAAGGTTTCAAATTGAAAAGGATGGTAAAGGTAATATGAACGACTTTAAAGCTACGTTGGTTGCAGAAGGGTATTCGCAAACATACGGTCTAGATTTTACTGATACTTTTTCTCCAGTCGCCAGATACTCCACAATTCGATTACTAACTTCCCTTGCGTTCCAATTAGAGACGAGCATAGAACACCTTGACGCAACCACCGCGTTCCTGAATGCCGATCTCAAAGAAGAGATCTATATGCACCAACCGGAAGGATAAACCATGGATGGAAGGAAGGTTTATCGCATAAAAAGGCCATAGATCTGCTAAAACAGGCGTCAAAGCGCGGAATGACAAAATGAACAGAGTATTAACAAAGTTTAATTTTAAACCATCTTTATCTGCACCGTGCATTGACTGTAAAGGTGAGGGAGGTTCGAAAATAATAATAGCACCATATGTCGGTGACGTGTTTGTTATCAATAAAAGCAAAAAGCGAAAATATTCACTAAGAAGTCAATTGAGTACTGAATACATGATCAAACACTTAGGAGTAGCAAAATCCATATTGGGAACAAGAATCAGTTGCAAACATAGCAAGGTCTACTTAGATCAAGGTTCCTGTATTGAGCAACAACTAGGCAGATTCGTTACGAATTATTGTGCCCCCACACTCGCACATTCTCCAGTAGGAAAAAAATTAATAAAAAGTGATACATATGATAACCATCCCTATCAGCATCTAGTAGGCTCTTTAAATTATTTAGCCGTATGCACCAGACCGGACATCGCGTTCAGCGTAAATTACTTAAGCAGATTTAATAATAGTCACAGTCTATAACATTGGCTTCTTACAAAAAGGTTTTTCAATTATCTTAAAGGCACAATCGACTTTCGTCTCTGTTAGGAAAAGACAGACTTACAGATTAGGGGATTCGTCGATGCAGACTTCGCGGGAGATGAAACCGATCGAAAATTATGCAGGAGATATAATTTCTTGTTAGGCGATGTATCCATCTCTTGAAAGAGCAAAAAACGATCTAATATTGCCCTCTCCACAAGTGATGCAGAATATGTTGCGGCAACCGAGGCATGTAAAGAAGCAGAATCTTTAAGAAGCTTGCTACGCGAAATCATAGGTCAAGAAATCTGCATCGACAACTACAATGATAACCAATCAGCCCAAGCGCGGGCGAATGAACAGGTCAACTGCTACAGAACCAAACATATAGATGTGAAATGCCATTTCATACGAGAAGCAATCAAACCTTGAATCGTAAAACTGGGATATATAAGTACAAAGCAAATGGTAGCAGGTATATTAACAAAACCATCCATTGCGAATAAGCATATAGAGCTCACTGCATCTTTAGGATTAATAAAAACGAAAGATATCACGATTAGGGGAAGTGTTGGAGTGCTAACGCTATTAATCGCGACACCTCACATCAATATGTTTATGCTAAACAGTTTTTGTGCTTATTAACCACACGTGTTAAATTGTGTACGTGTCGATCGTTATCTAAATTCTATTGATATTACGATCTTGTCTCTAGTCTCTAAGCTATCGTCGTACAGCGCACACCGAGCGAGTCACATAATACTAAACCGTTCCCTTTTTGTATAATCGGTGTTCTATCCTTTATAAATACACTGCCATACCAAATTCTATCATATACATAAATTATTCTAGAACTACCGTGGAATCTGAATCGGCTTTGAGGAGATTAGTCACAATGCTGCAGTATTGTTATGATGGCAGTACTCTGCAACCTTATGTCAATCGCGAATATTTCGGGCTGTAACGCATCTGCTTTTTACCATTGCAGAATTGCAATACAACTTGAGTCATCATTGACCAGATCAGATCAACCTCTACTTTGATGTGCTTACGGATGTACTGACAACCGTGGTGTTAATTGTAAATATATCTGTCCATAACCGTACTGTACATTGACAACCCTAGACTTCCTTGTATTTTAAATCATTACTGAAGTGATTAACCAGCGGCTACAGTGAATATCCATAACCGTACTGTACATTGACAACCTTAGACTTCCTTGTATTTTAAATCATTACTGAAGTGATTAACCAGCGGCTACAGTGATTTGCTAATAGATGCATTAAGAAGGGTGCTGCCAATTGTAGATATCACTGGCCACAGCCGAACTATGAATTGATTAATCTATAATTGCTGCTAAACTCGCATGAGTGAACAAATAATTAAAAAGGATAAACTACTGAGGCCATGGCCGTACTCAGTACTTATTCGTCAATTGCTAATGGCTCGAGCGATAATGGTTCAGTCTCGTGTCATTCTAGAATTCCAATAGCGTTTATATCATGACTGAACAGGTTAATCCGGCGACAACTACGCACAGTTCATTTATGTACCGTGTACCGTACTGACAAGAGAAAATTACTGTAGCCATAACCGTACTGTAAACTGATTATTCTAGAACTGCGGTTAAATAGAAACTATCAGCGAGCAAATAAGATCAACGGCTAGAGTACAGTGACGATGGCTGTACTCAGTGCTGTTTCGTCAATAGTTAATGTCCCTAGCTATAATTGGTCAGTCCTTCGTCACTCTAGAATTGCAATCGGATATAAAACATCCCTGAACATATTAATCCATTGGTTACAATGCTATATTGGTGGATGTACAAACCACCGTTAATGGAATTTTAAATATCAGTAGCGATATTTGATATGTAGATTGATAAATCTAGAACTACTGTGGAACATAAATCATCTGCAAACAGTTTAGTACAACGGCTGCTGAAGTGTGATGATGGCTGTAATCATTACTGTCTCGTCAATTCCTAATATCTCGTGCGATATCGGGTCAGTCCACTGTCATCCATGTGTTACAATAGAAATTAAATCACGACCGAAGAGATCAATCCAGTGGCTGCAGTGCAATATTGATGGATGCACCTAATACCTTATTGAGAATTGTAAACATCTTTAGCCATGGCTGACGTATACATTTATATTTCTAGAACTACTGTCGAATTTATATCACCACCTAACCGATTAATGCAGCGGCTACGGCGCTCTCTTGGCGTAAGTGCTGAGTACCGTACTCCCAATTGCAAACGTTTCCAGCCATATCCGTACAATACATTGGCTATTCTAGAGTTTCGGTCGAAATAACGACATCAGTGAACAAATTATTCCAACGACTACGTTTCTGTGACGATGGCTGTAGTCGGTCCTGCTATGTCAATTGTTAATGGCTGGTGTTGTAATGGACGTGTAATTTGTCATTCTAGAATTGCTACATAACCTAAGTCATCATTAAACAAGTTAATACAGCAGCTGCAGTATTCTACTGGTGGAGGTACTAAGTACCGTTGTGTGAATTGCAAATATCTCTAGCAATAAGTGTACTACGCGTTGATTATTCCAGGATGGCAGTGGAATATATATAATCAACGAACTAATTTTTCCAACGATACAGTACATAGACGATGGCAGCACTCAGTACTGCGTTGTAAATTGCGTATATCGCATGGTGTAGTACATCTGCCTTTTTCCGTTCTGGAATTATTGTGGAATATAAATCATCCGTGAGATGGTGAATTGAACGGCGGCAGTGCTCTGCTGATAGATGCACTATGTACCGAGCTATCAATTCTAAATATCTCTAGACGTACCCGTGCTATGCATTGACAATGCTACAGTTGCTGAGGAATTTAAATAACCAGTTGACAAATTATTCCAACAGCTGCAGTACTGTGATAGTGGCTGCAATCCCTTCTGTGTTGTCAATTAATAATATCTCGAGGGACAATGGATGTTTATTTTTCCATTCTAGTACTGCTATCGAATATAAAACATCAGTGAACCGATTAAACCAGTAGCTACATTGCTTTCTTGGTGTATGTACCACGAGCCGTGCTGTCAGTTGTAAGCATCACCAGCCTTATCCGTTTTATACGTTGATTATGCTAGAATTGCTTTGGAATTTACATAATCATTGAACAAAGGTATACCAACGGCTAGTGTACTGTGATAATGGCTGCACTCAGCACAGGTTTGTCTAATGCATTTATTTCCAGGGATAAGGGATCTGTCGTGCGTTATTCCAAAATTGCTATAAAATTTTAATCTTCTGTGAACAAAGGAATCAAACTGCTACAGCAGTGAGATGATGGCTGTACTCAGTACTGCTATGTCAATTGTTAATTGCGATATAATGGTCTGTCCTTCGTCATTCTAGAATGACAGAAGGATATATTCCATCACTCAACATATCAGTGCAACGGCAACAGTGCTCTGTTGATGGAGGTACCAGGAACCGTACTGTCAGTTGTAAATGTATCTAGGAATAACTCGTGTATACATTGATCATTCTGTAGACAACTGTAAATATAAAACACCGTCGAAAAGATCAAACCAATTCTACCGTGCCCTGTTGATGGACGTAGTAGGAACATTACTTACAGTTATAAATATCTTTAGCAATAGCCGTGCTATACTTTGACTATTCTGGAGTTGCATTTGATTTTACAACATCAGTGAACAGATCAATCCAGTTCTACAGTGGTCTGTTGATGGATATACTAAGAACCATACTACCAATTGTTAATATCTCTAGCCATAACCGTAAAATACTCTGATCACTCTACAATTGCCTTGGAATTCACATCACGAGTGAACAAATTAATCCAGCGTCTACAGGTCTGTGACGATGGATGTACTCAGTACTCTTTCGTTAATTGCTTATGTCTCGAGAGATAATTGGTCACTACTTCGTCATGCTAGCATTGCAATAGGATGTAAGCTATAACTGAACAGGTCCGTCCAATGGATACAGTGCTCCATTGGTGAAATTATCAACCACCTTACAGGGAATTGTTAATATCTCTAGCCATAATGGATGTATACATTTGCTACTCTACAGCTCCTGTCTCATTTAAATCATCACTGAACAGATAAATCCAACGGCTGCAGTAATCTACTTGTGAATGTACCTACCACCGTACTGGGAATTGCAGGTATCTCTATTCATAACTGAAGTATACATTGATAATTCTGAAACTACTGTGGTAGTTATATCGCTAGTGACTAGATTAATCCAACCGCTGCAATAATGTCATGATGGCTGCGCACTGTACGGTTATGTCAATTGTAAATATCTCGAACGATAGCGGGACCTTGCTTTGACATTTCAGTGTTTCAAAACAACTTAAATCATTACTGAACATATCAATTGAGCGACAAGAGTGCTCCATTGGCGGATGTACTGAGAGCGGTACAGTCAAATGAAAATACCTTTAGCCGTATCCGTCCTATACATTGGTTATTCTAGAATTGCTATTTAACAGTAATTATCACAGGACAAATTAGACCAACGGCAAAATTTCTCTCATGATGACTGTACTCACTTCTGTTTCTTGAGTTGTTAATGTCACGAGCGATAGTGGGTCAGTGCTTTGTCATTCTAGAATTGCAATATAGTACTATCCATCATTGTACAGGTTAATCCCATGCCTAAAATGCTGTCTTGTTGATTGTACCAGGTACCGTGCTTGGAAATGCTAATATCTCCAGACGTAACTGGCGTACACACACTCTATTCTGGAACTACGGTCGAATTTATATCATCACTGAACGGATTAATCCAACGGACGCTGTGTTCTGTTAATGGATGTTCTATGTACCGTACCGTCAATTGCTAGTACCTGTAGACATAACCGTACTATGCATTGATTAGTCTAGAGTTGCTGTTAAAATTAAGTTACAAGTAGACGAATTAGTCCAGCGGTTTACGTTCTGTGATCATCGCAGTACTCAGTACTGTTTCGTCAATTGTTAATGTCTCGAGCGGCAGTGGGCCAATTCTTTGCTATTCTGGAATTGCAATAGCATTCATGTCATCAGAGAACATATTAATACAACTGCTGCTGTGCTGTGATGATGGTAGTACTCAGTGGCGTTATGGCAATTGTTATTACCTCGAGCTGTAACGGATCTGTCTTTTGTCATTGAACATTTGCAATAGGATCTACATCTTCATAGAACTGGTTTTTTCTACGGCTATACTGCTCTGTTGGCGGATGTACTAATGCCGTGCTCTCAATTCTAAATATCTGTAGCCATAACGTTACTCTACATTCATCACTCCAGAATTGCTGTTTGACTTAAGTTATCAGTGAACAAATTAGGCTAACTGTTAAGGTACCGTGATTATGACTGTGCTCAGTACTGTTTCGTTAGTAGTTAACATTTCGAGACGTAGAGTGTCAGACCTTTGTTATCCTA